AACCAAAAAGGTAAATATAGTTTAAGACAACCACAAGCTAAATATAAATTTTAACCAGTAAATAATTTTACGTGTGTCTTTGACAATTGTACTTATTATTTAATTTTCAAATTTTTATACAGCTGTTATGCCATCTGTTCATTACAATGTCAGTCAACATGATATTGTAGCTGCTCATCTTTATCCATATTCAACTGATGAAATTTTCAGAGAATGTTGTCTTATATATGACATGTCAACACAGTTAGCGCCGACGCTTCTGAACCGAATGGTAGGTTTTCCAAAAACGTCCTAAAAGCCTTGATTTTCATGCTCGATTCCTCTTTTCCATACACCAAAGCATTTCCATTGAAAACTAATGGCATATTCGGAATCAGCGTGTGAAACTGCATCGGATGATGTATGACACAATATATTTTCTAACAAAAACATTTTCTCGAAAAAATGTAGGTGTGTTTTTCGTCGAAAAAATTTTTTTTCAAAAAATGCTTTTTTTTTTCTTAAAGATGGTTTTTGAAGTGATATACAGCCACTTTTGAGCAAAAGAAACCCGTTTTTGAGCACGAAAGTTACATGACCGCCTGCTATGCAAAAAATGCACACTGTGAATTATCACCTTGCCATCGTTTACTATACTTATTATTTATTTCTCGTATTCCAATAAGTGTAATTTCCAAATATCATACTTTTATATACTCACTATTGCAGTTATTGAACATCCTGAGCGCACATTTTTAATTAGCTCTCGTATATAATGTGTCCTTTTCTGTAATCACTTGTTATTCATATCATTTGTACTACTGAAGAAGGAGTCGGTTTAGACTTTGAAACGTTTAGCAGTTATAAATAAATTTATAAAATAAAAGAAAATTCTCCGAGAAAAACGAAATTAAATTTAAATATCATTTCCTTATCATATTATCAAAAGAATTAACACTACCTCGTATCAAATATATATTACACATTCTTGTATTGTGGTCACAAAGATATCGTATTGATTAGAAAAGGTTGGCTAGTGAAAAAAGGAATTAAGATCCAGATTTTTGAAAAAGTCGAAGAACAGAAATGTATTTTTTAGAGTGTATACACTGAGGAATGATATACACGAGACACGCTAATTAGCGCTTTTACGTAAAAGCGGAGAGAACTTAGAGAAGTCTAAGATTAAGGTTGTTTTAGAAATAACATTCAAAATTTTTCTAAAAATTCAAAAAAACTGTTGATATAGTTTCTATGACAAGTAAAGAGCGTGTTTACAAATAAAATTGCTATGTACTCATTGTAAGCTCAACCTCGAAGCGAGTCTGATGTGAATGATTTATCTTGATTGCATTATGTTCCCGAAGAGAAAGCCGGATAAGGTACAATAAGTATCACCTCTTTGTACACGAGACACGCTAATTAGCGCTTTTACGTAAAAGCGGAGAGAACTTAGAGAAGTCTAAGATTAAGGTTGTTTTAGAAATAACATTCAAAATTTTTCTAAAAATTCAAAAAAACTGTTGATATAGTTTCTATGACAAGTAAAGAGCGTGTTTACAAATAAAATTGCTATGTACTCATTGTAAGCTCAACCTCGAAGCGAGTCTGATGTGAATGATTTATCTTGATTGCATTATGTTCCCGAAGAGAAAGCCGGATAAGGTACAATAAGTATCACCTCTTTGTACACGAGACACGCTAATTAGCGCTTTTACGTAAAAGCGCTAATTAGCGTGTCTCGTGTACAAAGAGGTGATAATCGCCTCAGACAACTGCATAATTTTCTAAAAAACTCCTTCCTCGCCTTCAACATTTTAATTTTCCGTTTCCGTTTTTGTTCCCTTAAACTCAAACTGTTTCTTTCTTTTGTCTTTTCATCTGATTCTTGTGTGTGTATCTTTGTATAAGTGTGTGTCTTCAAACTTTACCTTAACTGGCTTAGTGTCTTTTTTGCTTCTTTTCTCTTTTTTGTTCTTTATTAATTTACGTTGAAAGTTAAATGACTTACATGCCTCTTTCAAGGTGATAATAGCGATGTTATTATCGATATGCATTATTTTGAACACGATAGTAATATGAATAGCTTCTTTTCGGTGAAAGAAAATACACGACTCGTTATAGGACAAGTGAAAAAACAGACAACGTCATATGCGTATAGCCTCAAAAAATGGATAAAAAGACATCAACATATGCTGTTGTTGTGTATAGACCTGTATGTGGTGCGGCAGCTAATGGTGTTTGGGAGCTCCCCGGGGTCGCCGATGGTAAAAATACAAACTGGTTTTATCCTCCGCCGAAGACGTAAAATCTTTTAAGGGGACTACGCCGCCGCCACCGATCGGAAAACGTTTGTTCACATCGCCGCCGATTTTCCAGCCCCTCACAAGTCCAGTTATGCAAGAAGAAGACAACTTACGTACTACCTTCTACAACGACAAACATAAGGTGCCGGAAACGGAAAGTTGCAGCAAAATTTATTTTTCGTTTGTTTACGCATAGTTGGATAGAACCCGTCCAGCTAATCAAGAATATGTAAACTTCAATTTTTTTGACGTGATTTTTATGGGAAAATTTTTCAGCATTTTCAGATACGCTGTTTTGTCAAAAATCGCTAAGTTCTCGGCTTTGTCGTTTTTTTAACTTCCAAAACGATTTCTTTCGGATTAGCTACTCAAGGGTTCAGTGAATCAAAGATGAACGTTACTTGAAAGCAGTATTGGTTATGTCTATTACAGTACATACAACTGAATAGGGTAATTATATTAAAATAAAAAACCATTTACAAGTATATGATATACAGGAAATGATAATGTAAACTCAGGTTATTTAAATAACGCTTTCACAATGTTTCGTTCTTCTTTCCAACAAAATACGTCGTGTTTAACAGCAAGTATCGTCGTCGCAACCTTCTAAACATTCATAAACACATAAAGCAGTACATGCTATCACTATTCCAAAAAGGAAATAAAACATCCGGCTAAAAACGTTGAATATGTTGTTAAAATAACGACAAGTCACTATTAAGAGTTGTACAGCGCGTAATTTCATTAAATCTATGAAATATTATGCTTTGTCATTTGCGCGTTACAGACAGTTAGATAGTTTTTTCGTTTTACAATAATCATAAGTTATTCTCTAAACCTTGTTCATACGAAATAAAAGTTATCTTTTACTTACAGATGAGATAAACCAAAATCCCCTCCACCTCTCAGACTTTGTGCCTGAAATGTTTGTTGTTCAATAGTTATCTCACTACCTATTCTCTTCGGTTCTTCAACGGTACCTGTTTTTTGGCTGAGCGTTCAACAAGATCGGTAGTTATTCAACTGTTTCACAAATTGATTTAATTTCCATATATTAAGAAAAACCACTGTGCCAGAGTGTTAGCGTTTGCTTTGTTTAAGATAGAAAATTTCTGTCATATATATACTTGCATATAGATAAAATGAACCAAGGTAAGAAAAATTTTATGATGCATGTCGTTAACGTTCTTTCTCTTTCTGTGTAAGCTGTGTGTACCTTAGTATCAGTAAAAGACTTAACAAAAATCATGTTTGTATCCGTCCTTCGTATGACATCATTAACTCCCTCCAAATGACGTCCTTAACCCATAAGGCAAGGTTTGTTACGATGTGATTATGAAAGCACTGTATATGGCAAGTGATTTTCGAAATATCCGCTATAAAAGTTTTGAAGAAAAGTAAAACATAACAGATTCGTCAATTGTCTATAGTCCAATTAAGCATTTTCCTATTTTCAAATTAGAGTTTCACTAACTGAATGTTGTATAAAATTAAATTCTCTTGTCTTTTTCGCTTAAATTTTAATGAAAACTTGTTCCGCTTTGAATTGCAGAATAACGAACAGAATATAAATTCGCAGAAAACTTACTATATCTAAGAACTTCTTCGATGTTTACTTGAAAAGGTCTCGAAATAATGTACACAAGTGGGAAATGCATCAGAGGTTGATGTTTTTTATAACAATTGTGAGCATCCTCGGCGTAAGGTCGCGGTGCTGTTAGTGACTCTCAGGATGTAGCAAAGACCAGTTCGGTCCTGTTTGACGCACAGACGACTGGGACTCAACCATTCTGCCTCATTCCCAAAATATTAGATTGGCTCTGATAACGAACCGATCCTAGCGATAGTATATATATTTGGGTATACATTCTCTGAAAGTCCAAGCGTAAATGTTTTCTTCACATAAGGCAAGCGTTACCCTATAGGCAATATTCACACGCGAACCATAAAACATCAATGGCTCTCACTTTTATTTTTAGATCAAATGCCTGTTATATATCGGAGAAGTGCTGAAGAGAACTTAGAGAAGTCTGAGATTAAGGCTGTTTTAGAAATAACATTCAAAATTTTTCTAAAAATTCAAAAAAACTGTTGATATAGTTTCTATGACAAGTAAAGAGCGTGTTTACAAATAAAATTGCTATGTACTCATTGTAAGCTCAACCTCGAAGCGAGTCTGATGTGAATGATTTATTTTGATTGCATTATGTTCTCGAAGAGAAAGCCGGATAAAACAGGGTGAAATCAGTATTTCAATTACCTTAAGAAACACTTTATTTTCAGAAAACTTCTCGTATCAAAAGTTTTTCTTTTTTGCTCTTTCTTATATAGAGATCACTACATAAGAGTTCATCAAGGTTAAAATAAATTGTTTATTGGATTTTACGTTCATAACAAACATTTGTGGAGTATTTGTGGAAATATTTCAACTATCTCTTTCTATATGCACATGAGAAATGTTTCTTTTCTGTAAATCTTATTGAACTCCTATAGTACAGTATGTAGGTGTTTTTTTATTTATCAATGCTAACATGGTAATGTTTAATAATAATAACGATAACAGTGTTGCAAACGACTTACCTGTGTGTAAATTGACGGCACGGTTGATCAACCGAGCAAACGAAAAAGAATGAAAACAAACTTTTCCATTTATAACTTGTAGTCACATACATGCATGTGTCACAGTCAAGTGATTTAATGACCCGTTTAACAAAAATGAACTACAGCCTTTTGCTGTTATCTTTTATCCTTACAACGTTACTTGTTAGAAAGTCCTATTCGCAAAATACTGATAATGGTACATTTAGCGAAGAAACAAGGTTAGATAATTGATTTATCTCAGTCTAAATGTCGATATAAAAAGATTTTGTTTAGCGAATTGCCCCCAACGTCAACCGCATCGGATATGGATGAAAGTTATAGACGAACGAGTAGGATTGTTGGATCGACATTTGCCGGAGTTATAGGAACAGTCGTTATTGGCGGAATCGTTTTCGCTTCTGTTCGTTTTATTCGACAACGCATTTCAAAACACAAATCGTCGAAAGATATGAAAGCGGCACTTGTAACAAATGAAAAAGTTTCGTTTGCCCGACCTCCCGACGAGTTCACTGAACCAGCTGAACTGATTACTGAACGTTATTAAACCTATAAAACTGAGAGTTGGCTGTAATTTGATCAAGACCTGGACAGTCACCTAATAACTTGTTAACGTCAAATTAGAAGCACAATATCACTTATTTATCAATTAAAATATTATTTTTCCACTACTTCTGGTATTCAGGGATGATCCGCGAACTAACAAAGGAAAATCGAATCTTTACTTTTTCAGAAAAGAAGTCCATTTAATAAAGAGCCTAAAGAGTAACATTTAGGTGTTATTTTTCATATTTCAAAACATTTAGTCCGCTACAATACTAAATTTTTAACGAACTATTCGCGAATTTTCAAAATGATCCTTTTAATCTATCGAATAGGTTGGCGAAGCTTTTGACTCATTTCCATGCCCAATGTCTTATCAGAATAGTGAGACGGGATATTAAAGTTAAGAGAAGTAGAAATTGGCCAAGTACGATTTTTCATTCGATATCAGCTCAGTTCGAGCCGAAAAGCTTTTTCTGTCTTGCAACTGTGCGTGTATCATTTCCATCGGCAGTGTTTCTGGCGTGTCCTTTCAGTGGATTTTTCTTTCACATCGTCGAGAGCTAGTCTGACATTTTTTTTTGCTGTCAAATTTACATTTATTAGAAATCATCTGAGCCTACTCTACTAGATAGTTAAATATTCTAGTTTTCTCTTTCCACAAAAAGAGATCATATAACGAACGCCCGACAAACCTTTTGGTCTTCTATTTCGACAGCACTAAAGTCATTCTCTCTCAAAAAACGAATATTATGAGGAGCGCCGGCAAAAACCTTTCAGCTGATTTCTTGTTCGAACTGGGTTTCTTTCTGAGAAGCCTTTATAAACAATGAGATCGTTGCTCAATAAAATCTGACAAAAAACAAAATCCCTTTTCCTTCGATTTTGCACATTAGAATGTATAACTACAATCGCTACACTTGCTGGACGGTTGACTAGAAATGCATTTACTTCGTTCGCTAGGTTGTTGACAGAACCGTCTCATCTGTGAATGCGTCTTGACGTTAGAAACAGTTTGAAAAGTATTTTTAAAGATTACGTCCCTTGCAAGAACTTAAACTATTTTATTATGTGTTTAGGAGTTTCTTTGCATGCATTTAGCCGTTCGCTTGTACGCTGTAAAAAATAAAGTGTACCAGAAAGTGTGTGTCTCGAGAATGCGATTACTTGTGACCCAAAAGATGTTCATTTCCCCCAAAACACACTTCGTTTTTTGTGATGCATGTGCCTTATCAAAAATACAAATATTTCCCTCTTTCTCTGTTTGCACAATTTCGTTGTCAATTCAGATTTGCAGTCATGTTTGTTTGAGTTTTCTACAATTTTACGAAAGCAGTTTCAGAGAATAATCTTGAAACACAACAATCCTGTCCTGTGTATGAGATTTTTGAATCCGATCCCGATCCGGTCTCGTAGATTTGAAACTCGTTCAGAACCGGAACCAGCAAGAAGTTTTTTGGGATCCCCATTTTTCCAAACTAAACCCGCTCGACCCGAAAAAGCTTTTTGAAATGATCTCCCGTCATTTATTTCTGCATTAGTAGATCTCTTCAAGTACATGTTCTGCTTCTTTCACAGCCAAGAAGAAGCTCAATCAATTCAAAATGTTTTTTTCTATCGCTATTTTTGTGATGAACGTTTAGCAGGCTCAAAAACATCATCTCTTTGTTAGTTTTGTCTTTTGAATAAAAAAACAATGCAACTTTTGAAGAAGAAATCCGATTCCGTTCTGATGAATTCAAACCCGTCCCGAATCCGACCAAAAACGTTTCGTGATCCCGAATTTTGCTCATATTCCTAAATATTTCTGGGTATTATAGCTGTATAATTAGTTCTCAACCAAGTCTTTTAATAGAGCAAAAGAGAGGAAAAGCTTTTCTAGTGCCCTATGCATAATCTTTCAAGGTCACAGGAACTAAAATCAATTATAAACACATATTCATGTTCCTCAACGTCTTAGGCATCCCCACTTATGTTCTTGTCATTTTTCACAGTAATAATTAATGAAGACCTTGAAAGAACACCTTGAAAATACACCGTCAGATTTTGATCATCAAAACTCCTTTATAATCAATGTCACATTGAGAGTTCAAGAGTAATATTTTCCTAGTCTACCTTGTACTCAGGATTAGTTCAGGCTAAAATGATCTATATCCATGCATCTGAACACTCTGATCACGGCGAGAGCCCTGATATCGAGTAATGGATCTAACATTTTCTAAACCAAACTAAAAATAGTTTGACTTTACTAGACTCCTGTACCAGCCATATATATAGTATCGTGATGGCGATGAAATAAGGTTCAAATTAGTCGACTGGTCACTTGTAGCCCTACAAGATTTGGGCATACAAAATTTCGGTTCGATATTTTTTCAGCGATTTGAGATACCAATAGTGGCTCTCTGGTTAGGAAGCAAGAAAACAATTCTTTTGGTTTTGATCCTAATTGGAACTATGGGATGGTTTACGTCCTCGCTTACATACATTTCTCATTCCAAACGGCTGAAAAAACATTTTCTTCTACAAAAATGTTTTCTCTATCAAAATATAACACAAAATCGATTCTAAATTTTTTTACGGCCATGAAAAATCGCTGTAAGGTCGAAAAGCGAAATTTTGTCACAACCGATCTTCCTTTTTAAGCTGTCGCGTCTATGTCTCAATATGAACTGGTCTTTGAACCAGACACATAGATCGACGTAGTTTTTCCTGCTCTATTCGAGTATTACTAAAAGCTCTCAAGAAAAGCTTGCGTGCGTTCAAGAACGCGGAAAATCCTCTGATTTTTCGATATCTCATTTTTAGGACTGAATAAATGTGATATTCGTATTCAGCATGAGAAATTGAATCGAATCATGTACTTTTTGACTTTCATATAATGTTGGCTGTGTTTCCTTATGTTTCCTAAACTATTCCAAGGTTCTTGCCAGATTTTATCAAAGACAATGAAACTCGTTTAAAATTGAGTAGATTGTTTTGAACATCCACTAAGTTTTCCTTGATTAAATGGTGATCGTACAATCTAGGTTTATCGAGTTTTACAAGTGGTTTAGCGAGACTGTTAGCCATTCTTTTGAAGAAGGTTGTTCTCTTTGGCGCCCGTTTTGCCTGTGAAGGGTTTTTCTTATAAAATTTGACATTTTTCAACGTATAGTGTAAACAATCAACTGTGAAAACAGAATAAAACTTACTAAAACTTCTAAATTAAACATAATATTTATAAGCGTTTTTCTCTAAATAAATCAATCATAAGTCTTTTCTCTGGTTAACAAATGATTTTAATAACATCTTTCATCATGTACTCAGCACAATTGATACTATTTTCTTGTTCTTTATGATGAAATATGATTGTTCTGCATCTTATTATGACGACATAAACGTCTTAGTATCGGATTTTCTCCGATGAAAAGGATATTCTAATCTGACAATACTGCACGACTATAAAAAGACATAAAGATTAATGTATTAAATCGACATCGATTTTCTACATTCTTGGGAATTATTTATAGAAAATCTTCAGCGAATTTTCGTTTGGAAAATCCTCAAGGATTTTATATATGGACTTTTCGAAAATCAAAAAGTCGAATTATTTTCTACTTTCTAGAAAATCGCTGAGGATTTTCTAGATGAGGAAGAACAATTTGAGTGAGGATGCTAATAATCAGTGACTTGCAAAGTGAAAATGGCTGATGATAAACTTTTTCACCGTTAT